AAAAACTAAAAAAGAATTCCAAAAATTGATCGAGTTATGATAAGTACTAGTGAAAAGAGTGATTTTTTGTTTGCAATTACCCCACTCTACTCTATATGAAAACAAAAAGACAATATGGAAGATTGAAACACTTCTTCAGATATTCGGAATAAAACAAATATTGATAATGGCAAGTGAGGTACATTTAATATGAAATTTTCAAGTATTGAAATAGAACTAAATACTTAGGGTATACCAAAAGTAGTGATTTTTTTGAAGAAAAAAATTTAAAAAAAAAACTAAATTAACTTTATATTTCATCCAATATTCGAAATAGTGATCCTGCTTGTTTATACACAATTTCATCCGTTCAATCCATTTATCAAAAGTTTTCTTTTAATCATATTGACTAAATAAGTTCATTGTTCTAGCTACAGAACGATACAACGATTCGAAGTTGTTTTGATTGGTCAGATTTTATTTGATCAAGTCGAATAACCAAAAATCGCATGATATCAAGTCTGGAGAACTAGGTGGTTCTGGTATGATTGTGATGCTTTTCGATTTGAGATAAATAGATTCATTTTCATGAACATATCGCTTACTGTTATCATGATGAAGTTTGATAGCATGTATACCAGATGATGGTCTTGGTCTTTTGGTTTTATTTACAAGAGATTGTAAGCAATTATTAATGTAATAGTAATGATTGACACATTGCCCTTGTTCCACATAGTGGATTAAAACAGAGTCAGTGGTCTTCAAAAATGTTTTTGTAGCGAAGAGGCTTCGTCGAACCATAGTTGGCAGGGTTTCTCCGTTAATTGTCCAGACAACATCTGATGCTTTTCCATCAATTTGTTCATGGTAAAACTCGTGTCTTCTCACTTACAAACATAAAATCGAAATTCAAAACCTGTGAAATTCAGTTTCAATTATTTCTTTTTAATAAAAATTATTCATATAGAAAACTATCGTAACTTTCAAATTTTCGTTTTTTTTTAATTTTTAAAAATTTACTGATAACAGTTTTAATAAAACGTGTAGTTCCACTTTTAGTTTCACCATCTAATTATCATTACAACATGGGATCAAACATCGAATGAACACAAACTAGTCGAGATGTAAGAACATTCATATACGGAAATCAAAAATACAGAAAACGATGTTCAAAAAACAACGGCTTTAAAATATGGCTGTTGGTGAGCGTCTTACATTCATGCATAGACATCTCCACTTATTCATCTTACACCCGCAATAAATATTGAATTTTCACTATTGATTATGACAAAACCTTTTTGAAACTTCGCATTGACTTTGATTAAAACTCTTAGCTAAGCCAAAATCGGTAACTCTTGCTCTTGGATTATGAGTATTGCTTTATGAATAACAAAAAGAAAAAACTAAATCAATTAGTTGATACCTATCCAAAGTATTTAGTTCTCTTTTACCAAACCTATCTAATATCGAGCCGATAATAATAATTTATTTTAAACCATATATTACTCTCAAGATCAGTTATTATTTGTAGTAGTGGAGCCAGAATTTTGAGCTATGGAAGGGCTCAGCTTTCTTTGCAAGATCTTTGAAGAACAAATACATATTTCAAAAATCTCACAATATATGACGACTCAAAGGTCTGTAGGGTGGTTGAGCCTTTCTGGCTCCGCCACACATTATATGCATATAATTTTATCTCATATAACACTTGATAATTACTATTTATAGAACAAACATCATATCATTCTTTATACCATGTTCAGCTTGCTATGTACCACCTCAAATCTACCTCAATCAAAAAACTTCTTTGGTGAAAAACTCATGTTCTATATATATTTCATCCTATCTTTTAAGATAAAAATCTGTATTGAACAAAAACTCATGCCGTCAACAAATTGCAGTAAGTTTTCTTACAACGAAAATCTTCATTCAACAAAAGAACTTACGTTCTTTACCAATTGCAGTAACTTTTCTTAAAATAAAATAAAATAACTGTTCATTAAAAGTTTTTAAATCGATTTATTTTCTATATGCACTCTCATTAATCAAATCTTTAAAATTTATCTATCAAATTTACTCGTTTTACACAAAATTAATAAAATCATCAACTTTGAGATCAAATCGAAAATTTAAAACAATTTTATTTTACTAAAACTTGATTTGCTTCATATTCGCAAATGAGAAATAACTTCTCAAAACTAGTAAAATATATGATTTACTCATCTATCAGCGTGTCTATCTCTTCTTATATTAGTTTTGCTTGCATACATTTCTGTTCGTATACGTACATTACAGGTGCATTTTCTTTCTTTCTCTCTTTTTTACACATCTTATGAATATCGTTATATATTTGATGATACACAAAATTTAATTGACGCATATTAGTAAGTTTTACGACATAAAATATACAAGGTTTTCGATAAAAACATCATTTATTATTTATTGATAATTATCAACAATCATGGGTAATAAGCAACCTAAGAAAACAATATCAAATGAACTTACTGAAGATCGTTCGTTTTCTTTTTGCAACAAATTCATCATATAATACTTTTCTAATGATTACATTTTTAGAGGTAGGTGTGCTCAAATCAAATACCAAATTTACTGACAACGGTAAACGTATTTTGAATAACATTTAATCAATCTAAATATGTGTTATTTTCTTTTCTTTCCGTTATGATATAGAAATTCGAGAATGGCATGAGGTTTACTTCAAGAAATTTGATTTTTTTTTCTAAAATTATGTCTGATGATCTTTTCCTATTTCAGAGTTTCATGCGGGATTGTCCAACTGGTCGAATCGATAAGAAAAGGTTTGTTGAATTCTATAAACAATTTTATCCAAATGGAAAAGTAGATAATTATTGCAAGTAGGAATTTATTTTGAAATATTCATTCAATCTATAAATATATATGACATTTATTTTTATATCTAGACATGCATTTCGTCCATTTGATACTGATAATAATGGTACGATTGATTTTCAAGAATTTCTCTTAGCCATTGCAACTAAAACTCAAGGTGATCTAGATCATCGTCTTATCTTTGCTTTTAATATGTAAGTCCATTCTATTTGTTTTATTTATTCTTTCATTTATTTTGTTAATATACAGGTATGATATGTCTAAGGATGGACTCATCAATCAAAAAGGACTAATTACATTAATCTCAGCTATAGTAAAGTTTAAGGTTTATTATCATATTCAAACAAATTACATATCTTTTTGTTGTTAGTATGATCTTGTTGGTGAAACTGATCGTAAAGGTGATCGTGATCCAAAAAAAATTGCTGCAGACATTATAGCAAAACTTGATTCTAATGGTGACAACAAATTAAGTAAGGTAGAATTCATTGCTGGGTATGTTTGTACAATAATAATAATAATAATAATGAATGACCTATTATTTGTGTTCTTTTTCTAGATGTAAAAACAATCCGAATATTCGTGCATTACTTGCTCCTAATATTTAAATATTGAACAATTTATATGAAAAGTCTTTGATGAAAACTTTTTATTGTTTAAAAATAGAATAACACAATTTTATTGCAGTTTATTTTATACATTTGATTCTAACCAAAATAAATTTAATGTAAATAGATTTTTTAACGAAAAATGAACTTAATGCAACAATCGAAAAAAAAAGAATCTAATTAATAATGTTGTTTCTATCCAAGAAAAAAAAATAATATAAATAGTAGATTGACTTGAAAAGAAAATACTGAAACATAGATATTTCATAGAGAAAATGTACTGTTAATTAATTATTATTGAAGTAATATGTAGTTTCATATCTATCTTTTTTACAGAAACTCTTTGATACATAAATAAATAATGCTATATGAAAGCAAAAAGAGATTATGGAGCAGAGGTATCCACAGGGTAATTTTTATTACCCTGCCCTGTTGACAAAAAAGGTATAAGAGTAAAAGGGTACCTAGCCCTGCTCTGGAGACTAAGCAAGGCAGAGTATCCTGCTGAATTGATATGCCGTCTACATTGTTGTAACGACAAACTAGATGAGTAGATTATCGCCACCCTCGATAATTGTGGTTATTTAGCTACTTCACATCTCCAGAATGTAACTACTTCACATTCAACACATGCTTATATAGTAGAGAGCAAGAGAAAAAGATGAACACAGGAAAGAACGATACAGAGATAAGATAAAGAAGAAAGGAAGGTTAGCGTGAGATGATAACAATACCAGCACAATTGTATTTTCCAATGTAGTTCAAAAGAAAAACGTTTTCGAATTGTATCGTAGAACATTGTTTTATTTAAATTCATTGAACCATAATAGTACTTAGAGCAATCCAAAAGTAGTGTCGTCATTATCTTATTTCCTCTATAGAAAGCTTGAAGAAATTTTCTTTCTTGATGTAGTGATAGAGAAAACGATGCTCTATTTTTCTGT